CCAGCCTGGTCAACAAGAGCGAAATTCCATCTCAAAACACACACACACACACACACACACACACACACACACACACACACACACATATACACATATATTCTAGTTTGAATCTTTACTATTATTTTACCTTCCTCATGGGGAATGTAGAAGCCATTGTATGAGATTTCCCTCAACCTACTGGGCTCCTTTCTCTCCACCAAAATATAGATGGTATCTAATCTCATCCACTCTTTCCTTCTCAGCTGTGATCTAGACCTGGGAAATTCCACACTTATGCTCTAGATAACCCCCTCCCCCCGCCTTTTCAGGAAGGTGGTACAAGTGATTATTTTTCTTTCATCTGCATTTTCTCTCCTTTCCATTGACTTACTTGACCTTTCCAAATACTTTCTTCTCTTGAACTCCCTTGATTCGTTATTTATGCCTCTCTGAATGTTTCTAATTTGTGCCTTCTCCCTTATATTTTAATTCCCTCTTATTTTAATTAACCTTCCTCATTAAACTAGATTTCCTGAGGGTAGGGTCTCTGATTTATCGTGTGTGTGTGTGTGTGTGTGTGTGTGTGTGTGTGTGTGTGTATACACATAATGGTAAATATATATAACCTTAACCAATTTGAATTGTGTAGTTCAGTCCCATTAAATACATTCACATTGCTATGCAGTCTCCTGAACCCTTTTCATCTTGCAAAACTGGAAATCTGTATCCATTAAACAACAACTCCCCATTCCTTTCTGCCCTAGCCCCTGGCACCCACCATTATGCTTTCTGTCTCTATGAATTTGCTACTCTAGATATGTCATAGAAGTGAAATCACATAACAATTATCCTTTTGTGACTGGCTTATTTCATTTAGCAACCTCAAGATTCATGTCTGTTGTAGTATGTATCAGAATTTCCTTCCTTTGTGAGGTTGAATAATTGTGAATGGAATGAATTCATTGTGTGTGTATATCACATTTTGTTTATTGTTCTCTCAATGGACACTTGGATTGCTTCCACCATTTGTCTATTGGGAGTAATGAAGCTATGAACATGGGTATGCAAATATCTCTTTGAGACCCTGCTTATAATTTGGGGATATATACTCAGAAGTGGAACAGCTGAATCATATAGTGATTCTATTTGTAAGTTTTTGAGGAACCATCACAACATTTTCCATAGTGGTTGCACCATTTTACATTCCCAATAGTGCACAAGGGTTTCAATTTCTCCATATCCTTGCCAACACTTGATATTTTCTGGGGTTTTTTGGTAGTACCCATCATAATGTGAGGTGGGGTCTCATGGCTTTGATTTGCATTTCTGATTAGTGATGTTTAGCATATTTTCATGTGATTTTTGGCCATTTGTAAATCTTTTTTGGAGATATGTCTACTCAAGTCCTTTGCCCATTTTTAAATTGCCCCATTTTAAATTGAGTTGTTTGGGTTTTTGTTGCTGGTTTTATTCATCTGTGAATCCCACATAGCATATATTCCATTGCTTTGCTCCACTTCTGCCCCACGGGCTCAGAAAAGCTGAGCACCTGCAAGGGGGTTGACACAGAGGTACTGGACTATGTAAGTATATACTCTGAGGTTCTAGTTGAGTTTCACCTTTAGAGACAACTGACAGAAGTATCATCGGAGGAAGACTTGAGTGGGACATGCATTTCTCTATAAAAGTTTTCATTGCCTCATCACAAACCCACTAGATTTTTAGAAGTAAAGGCGTTCTTGTTCTGGATTCAAACTCCTTGCGAAATTTGGAGAAGTCAATTTCCACTTTTTGGTTAGGAAATTGCCCTAGGCTGAACTTTGGAGACATGCTGTCTATGCATCAAAGGTCAAGACTCAGGGGAAACAAACAAGAAGTCATACTGATAATCTTCAATAGTGGGTATTTTTTCATTCAGTAAACATCCATCATTTGCCTAAGAGCCAGATACTTGGCTAAGGGATAGGAATAGAATGACAATTCGTTCAAAGTTAAGTCATCTCAGTCTGTATATATCAAGGAGAATTACTGGAAAACTAGGTGTAGAAATGGGTAAATATTACCATTAATCTATGGCTTTTTTTCCTATTTTCTTGAAACTCAAATTTTGCTTTGATTTCCTTCTTTAATGATTTAGGTAAAAAATTGTAGTGGCTGATTAAAATGTGTCATGTTGAAAATGGTGGAAGAAATTAAAAGGTAATTTTCCCTTACTACTTAAAAAATCTGTGATTAACTTGATTGCTACTTCTCCCCATCTATAGAACATAAAGTGCTTATGGAGCTAAAAAAAAGTATTCATTGTTCAGAATCATTGTTTCAGAGACTTGGTCATAGCCAGTTTATAAGACGGCTAAGTGGAATGACATATGTAAAAGCTTCTAGAAAAGTCAGGGCAATATTTTCTTTCCTTTCTTTTGTCTTTTCTTTCTTTTCTATAATTTTTGGTCTACCCATGAGAAAAGAGTTTACTAAGCAAATTAATGAGCAAGTTGGCAAACAAGTAAAGCACCCTTTTATTTAATAGCAAAGACATTTAGCAGCAGGACTCTATTCACACAATGAATTTGCTAATTATAAATGAGTCCCATGTAGTATTTAAATAATTTACAAGGTTTTTAGAAACCTTAGAGTTCTGTCCCCCTTCCACTTGTAACAATGTGATTGCAATCCCCAAGGAGAAATAATATTGCTTTCAAATATCCTATTAGTCAGACTGTTCAATTTACGTAAACCAACATCCTCTCATCTGTCGCATTTCCCCTCCATGACTGAAAACACTGAGGCCAAAATAAGCAGACAGAGCAAGAGAGCATAGCATATAAGGCCTTTCAAGGACTTGCTGCTGCCTGTTTTACACAGCCTCAGTTTCTGCAACTCTTTGCCATGCACACTGTGGCCCAGCTACGGTAAACTTCTTGTCAACTCAAAGAACAGTGCCCTTGGCCAGGTGTAGTGGCTTGCACATGTAATCCCAGTGCTTTTGGAAGCCAAGGTGGGAGGATCACCTGAAGCCAGGATTACAAGACCAGCCTGGGCAACATAGTGAGATGTCATCTCTAAAGTAAAAAAGAAAAAAATTAACTGGGCATGGTGGCACACGCCTGTAGTCCCAGCTACTCAGGAGCCTGAGGCAGGAGAATCACTTGAGCCCAGGAGTTCAAGACTGTAGTGAACTATGTTCACACCAAGGCTCACCAGCCCAGGTGACAGAGCAAGACCCATGTCTCTAAAATAAATAAATAAAATGGCCTTGGCTTATGTACTGTCCTTTGCCACATGCTCATCTGATGAGCTCCTGCTCATCTTTTGTGACCCAGACCATAAACTTCATTGCCTTCTCTGAGCCACCTTTTCCAATGCCAGCAGGTACTTTGTCCCTCCTTTGACCGAATTCCCATAGCACTTGGTGCAGATCTTTGAGAAGTCTGATCACATTCAATGGCAATGATGTGCTTAAAAGGCTTTCTCCCACACCCAAGTGTGAGCTCCTGGAAGACAGGGACTCATGTTTTACCCTTTCCATTTATCTCTAAGTACCTAGCATAGTCCTTGGCCCAGTAAGCATTCAGTAAATATTGGGGAAAAGTTATTAGGATCACAATAGTAAATGGCAGTTAGGTATAAAGGAGAAAAAATAAGAATGATGGGGACTCTGAAGTTAAGAAGAAAGGGTATATGAAGAGATTAGGAGACAAGGGGTCAGCAAGAGAGGATGGAAATAGAGGAACACACAAAGAAAGCAAGTAGGAAGTGAAGGAATAAAGAAGTGAAGCCTGGGTTCTGGGAAGCAAAGTAACATCAAGGATGGACTCATGAGGTGTGTGAAATTAGGGCATTTCTGAAGCTCATCTATACCCACTTTTCCCTAGAGCAAACTGGGATGGAAAGAAGAAAAGGCCAGAGTGAGGAATGAGGCAGCAAACCATCTATAGACCATGAGCTAGGCCACCGCATTTGGCATGGGGTTGGGGCTGGCCTCCTCCCCTGGCCCCTCCTGTTCTTCAACTTCTCAATTCATATCCAGGCCTAAGCGTTGTCTCCTCTTCTCTCTTCTGCACCAGGGGAGGCCCAGTGAGGCTCTCTGTATACACAAGTTCATACTGTATATGAGAGCAAATTGGCATGTGGGTGTGCTTTCTTCCCACTGGGTGTTTGAGTTTCTTTCACTCTTAAAAAATAAGCACAAAGGGCAGTGACATAGCAGCTCCCCATCTATCTCTGCCTTTGTTATGTCAGAGAGTCTTTTACATAGCTAGGTGGAAAGCCTTGGCCTGCTCCTGAGCTTGCTGAACAGTTACACTGTATGAAGGGTTGTAATGTTGTTGTAATGGTGCATGTCAACATGCCATGGTATATATTGTCTTTATGACAAAATGACTTTTCAGACTCACCAAGCTCTCTTCCTCACAGGAGATGTGTCACTTGATGGTCACGGCCTTTTGGAGTTAATCCTCGGGTAACCAAAAAGTGTCTGGGGCCTATAGAAAGCAGCACAGTGCAGCCCTGGATAAAAATCTCTTACCAGATTGCAAGTTAGGCTCTGCCATTTTGTCTGAGGCTGTTTTCTCATCTGTCAAATGAGAGTAATCTCATCCACCTACCTCATAGGGGTTGCTCTGAGGATCAAATTACATGATATATAAGATTCTACATGTAACAAACGTTCCACAGTTTATTGGCAATTTCTAGCTCCATTCTCTCATCTGATCCTCTAAACAATCCTGAAAATTATTTTGATCCTCATTTTACAGATGAAGAAACTGAGACATGAAGAGGAAAAGTGACTTAGCCAAAGCGACATAGCTAGTAAGCCAGGGTGATCCACATTTCCTGTTTTCATACACAACTTCAGTTATTCCTTGACACAAACCTGGCTACTAGTGCTATTGGCTACATGGCCCCTGTTTCTTAACTTCCCTCATGGCTCCTCCTCCCTGTAGCCTCTGAAGGTTCTCTGTGTAATGAATTAATTAGCTTTGTTTTTTTCTCCCTCTCCCCCTCTTTTTCCCGGCCTCTAGAAGAAAACACCAGCAGCCCCAGCAAAGAAAACCAGCACCACCTTCAACATCGTGGGAACCACCTATCCCATCAACCTGGCCAAGGACACTGAATTTTCCACCATCTCCAAGGGCGCTGCTCCCAGTGCCTCCTCAACCCCAACAATCATTGCTTCACCCAAGGCCACCTACGTGCAGGACAGCCCAACTGAGACCAAGACCTACAACAGTGTCAGCAAGGTTGACAAAATTTCCCGCATCATCTTTCCTGTGCTCTTTGCCATATTCAATCTGGTCTACTGGGCCACGTATGTCAACCGAGAGTCAGCTATCAAGGGCATGATCCGCAAACAGTAGATAGTGGTGGCAGTGCAGCAGCCAGAGCACTGTATACCCTGTGAAGCATCCAGGCACCCAAACCCCGGGGCTCCCCTTCATGTATTTCAGGATTCTTCTTTTTACCCCTCTACCAAGCTGTGACTCTCAATTCATATTTATGAATCTCTATGAAAAAGAAACTACAGAAAAATTACTTGTCCCTCCAATATTGCTCAGTATAACCCCATCAAAGCCAAACACTGCCATTTGTCCAGTTGCTCATTTTAGTCTGCCAGTCTCCCCTAGCTGAGGGCACTGCATGTATTTTATTGCACTCTGCCCACTGCAAAAAGAACAAGAGATTCTACTCTCTATAGTGGAAGCCTTGGCTGTTTGAGAGGCCCAGAACAAGGAGAATTGTTGACTGGCCATCTAGATCAGATGATTCTAACTTACTAGGCAGCCAGGTTGGGCCATGCCATGTGATCCTGCGTGCCACCTCCCCTGCCTTCAGCAAGGCCTACTAGGCATAAGTACTGATAGCAAAGTTGGGAGTCAATTCTATACCCCCAACCCATTTCTTAGTTTGGAAATCAGTGGGGACAATTGGTACCAACCACCGTCTACCATGTATGGCCAAAATAAATAGAACTAGCTATGCCAGCCTGGCGCCAAGATGGTTGGTGCCCTGCCATGTCCAGCCCCTCAGGAAAATAGTCCCCTCCTTGGTACATCTCTCCTCCAGAAGATCTTCCCCCACTGCCTTTGACACCCTTGTAGCCAACTGAGCACTACTTAATTTGGACTCATTACCACCTGTAAACTTTCCAGGAAAAAAATGATCAAGTATTTTTTATTTAAATAAAAAAGTTGCAAATAGAAACAAAGTGATCTAGATTAAAAAAAAAAACAAAACAAAAAAAAAACACTTTTTTAAAATATGGGAGAGATATAAAAGTCATCTCCCTGCCAAGGCAACTAGCCTATACTGGATTGGGCAAGAGATTTGGAGTGGATGGTAGTTGAGGATTGAAGTCTAGCTCAAAAGAGAGGGCTACTGGCAGATGAAAGTCAAATTCTTCCTTCCGTACACTCCACATTCCACACCCTGGCCCAGGCATTTTTGTCCCACCATATCGGGAACCTCTGGTCCTCTGTTGATGCCGATTCTATGAAGGGTGAATTGGAAATTCATACAAATAAATATCTCTAGTCAATATTGAGTCAACTAGATCATTAACTTTATTGACAATTTTATAATATATTATTTAGAGGCCATTTGTTCTTAATCTTAACGTGAGTAAAAGACACAGGTGTAAATATGCAATTTTTATAAGGTAGATAAACTGAATCCCAGAAGTTTGAATGATTTGCCTAGGCTCCTTACAAGTTAATAAAGAGCTATCATGTGCCCCTTTCCAAAGGCCAAAATAAAGGGCTGAGAAGCCAGGTCCACCATGACCTCAGAATCAGCACGATCTCAGCGGGCCTTCTGGGTCATTAGTGGAACTTGGTTGGGCACCAAAAAGGTTTTTAGAAAGTCACAACGTGTTACCCAAGAAGATCACTTTTAATAGTCTCAGCCCAAGAGAATGAGACTGTTTATGATGATAGCCCCAGCCACTTTGGCTCTGAATACCTGCACTAGTCCAGAGTATCCTAGAAGCCCAGGGTAAAGTTACGAGGGCACCACAAGCAGATTCTCCCTGCCCACCCGCTGAACAAAGCTCCTAAGGGGTGTATCATTAGCTGCTGGTTGCCTTTTCATCCATCTTTTCCCCATCCCCTGCTTCCTTGCCATTGCTAGGATAATGCATGCCAGTCCCATTATTCCTAAGAGTGTGTCTGTAGGTAAATTCATGACTAGAAGAGTGTAGTCTTGTGGATATGTGGGGATATGGGGGGGGTGGGAGGGCGGGGCTGTTAATGATTGTCTTAACGAACTTAGAATGGAAGCCTGATCTTTGCCTCTCTATAGAAATTTTGTTTCCAAATGCTTTGGTGCAATGTTTAGCTGCTGTTTATTAAACCCTTTCTGAACTGTACTTGGTCTGCAGAACTTTCTTTGGTCACTCTTTGCCTAACACAGACAGTACTATGTTTTTGACTTTCACCCCCAATCTCATGCCACCATTACTTTCCACTTCTTAACAACCACTATAATAAGACGGAAGAAAGGTACCCCTAGAGTAAGAAATGTATTACAATGATCCGAAGTGAAACTCGTGTGAAAACATAGCTTTGATTGATTCAAGGGTCTCATTACCCAATATGAAATATTATGAAAAAGCTGTATTGCTTCTTCTGCTAAATTCACCCACTCCCAGGAAATAGAGAAATGTATGTTCATTGTAATTCTGAAAGATTTCTCTTTTCCATGGCCTACTATTTTCCCTTTGTCAGCAGTTCCCTTAAGCAATAATTATTAGTCAAATTGAGAGTAAGTCTTTTATTGGTTGAGCCATGTGTTGGGAAATGGATGATGACACTTATTTCTTACAGAGTTAGAAGACATTTGGGAAATGATCTCATGAGATTTGCTTGAGGAAATCATCATCTCCTAAGGGATGGGAAAAGTATTGGGAGAGCATGTCAAATCACATACAATTTTTTCTCATCCAAAATAAAAGCATGGACTTGTACCATCTGACACTCAATGAACGTTCCAGCTCTGATGAATGTCCTACTGCTGCAGCAATCCCACTGTCCCTGGGCAGTTCAGTCACACCCCCAGAACAACCATGTGACAGACAGTGGGCAGCCTGTTTTGTAAAATTGCCTGATACCAATATTTAAGTGTTGCTGTTTCTTTCAAAACTTTCTGAAACTACTTTGCCTTTGGAAACTATTCCCTTAGTCTTAGTGGAAAGCTCAAGCTGTTCCCATAAGCGAATGTGTTGCTGAGTTCTCCAAGAGTTTGAAACCCTGCCACCGGCTGGGACTGGTATTCTTGGACTTGAGTATTTATGGTATTCAGAGCATGAGAGAGTTCTCCCCAGCAGTTCGTTGAGGGTGCCAGTCTAGAGGCTGCGGGAAGAGTGGCTAGCACATAGTAGGCATTCAGTAAATATTTATTGAATAAATGAATGTGAATCTGGACCAGAGCTACATGCAGGAGGATTTCTTCATGGCAGTGTTGGAGAGGAGGCTAGCCACATCATGATGCATGGAGACTAATAGAAACAAACAAATGCAAAGTGCAACCTTGTAAAGTAGTACTAATAAATGTGCTCTGTTTTAAGCCACTTTAAATAGCTTTTCCCTAATGAAACAGCTGTTTGCTCCCATGGGCTTTTAAATTTGGGGGTTCATTTAATGATCTATAAGTTCCTTGTGTTAGAGTACTGAAGGCAGGAGAGGAAGGCACGACTGAGCACCAGACCCATCTGAAGCTTCAAGCACAACACACTGGCCTATCCAGGATGCATCTGTACTATGACACCCTTCAGAGGGCTACCCAGGCCCTGAATCTTTGCAAGAGGTCCAGCAGGAAATGGAACCAGGAAGGGGAAAGTAAGAGGAAGGAAGCAATTGGGAGGAATTCTGTTAAAGGTGCCCTAGAATTGGAAGCAAAGGCAGGGATCTCTCCTTTCCAGCTTCAAAAGCTTTTTTTTTTTTTTAATTATACTTTAAGTTCTAGGGTACATGTGCACCACTGGCAGGTTTGTTACATATGTATACATGTGCCATGTTGGTATGCTGCACCCATTAACTCGTCATTTATATTAGATATATCTCCTAATGCTATCCCTCCTCTCTCCCCTCCCCACAATAGGACCCGGTGTGTGGTGTTCCCTTCCTGTGTCCAAGTGATCTCATTGTTCAATTCCCACCTATGAATGAGAACATGTGGTATTTGGTTTTCTGTTCTTGCGATAGTATGATGAGAATGATGGTTTCCAGCTGCATCCATGTCCCTACAAAGGACACGAACTCATCCTTTTTTATGGCTGCATAGTATTCCATGGTGTATATGTGCCACATTTTCTTAATCCAGTCTGTCACTGATGGACATTTGGGTTG